CGAAAAACCGGGGAACCCATTTCCCCAGACTTTCACACTCCCCTGCCACCATTTCCAACTCAAAAAATGACGTCCAATCCTACTACACACCACCACACCACCAGCCCCTCCCGCAATTGACAACCACACTACGACCACCGCACCACACCGCTCGCGCGGGCCAAGAGCTAAAGGTCACATTGGGCATCCCCGACACGAGGTGACATCGCTCCGATCGACGGCCAGCACATAAACAATGCGAGCAATGCAACGATGTCCGGGGGTTGGGTGGGAAGCCAGCAGTCGTCACCATCCAGTCATTCGCATCAGCGGAATACCATGTTTTCTTGCTTACGCAGGTATTCAGTAGGTAGTATGAAAATGCAATGTGCTACATTATATCAATAAGGCTCATATAGCCACCTTTGAACCCTAAGTCCTCTGTAAGTCAAAAGTGTCTATGTACATGAAGTGAACCCGAGGTCTGCTGCAACCGGAGTTGCCTTGAACACCCCTTTTCTGAGAGAGTTTTGTGCGACCTTTTTGCTGTCAAATAGAATTACCCTCCATAACCATTCTCCTGGGATATCATTACTCCAGTCATCTGGATGCCATGTGCTTCTTCCCATCATTCCAGTCCTTCCTTTTACCGGTTGATCATCAGTGAGTGTAAGGGGTATATCTGTATATCCGTGCCGTCGTAGCATTGAGCTTGTCGTCAAAGTCGTATGGATGTGATCCATTATTAAAGGCCCGACCGTCCCGGAAGAGACGGGCATCAGTGTAGAAATGAGGTTATTAGTGCCCTCAGAGAAGTAAAATGAGAGAAAGAAAAGTTCGGAAACAGATGGTCCATCTTCCAGGACCAAATGTCTAGAGGAGCGCAACGGCACCAAAGAGACCAGCCAGGAAGGCAGCTGCCGGGGCTCTGCGGGCGTCGGCAGCAGCAGTAGGCACAACCACTGGAGCCTGGCTCGACACCGTGACCGGGGGAAGGATCACGGCGCTTGTTGTAGGGACGACGAGGGTGCTGGCAGGCCGGGTCTGCGTAGCGTACACAGTTCCCGACACGGTGATGTAGACCCATGACTTTTGCGTCACGACACTCTCGCCGCCCACGGTCACGGCCTGGGTGACCTCGACGTGTGCCGTCTTGGTCTCGACAATGACTTCCGTCAGGGTGTGGACCTTCTCGACGGTAATGGTTTTGGTGCCTGTGGCAGTGATCCAAACCGTCTCTCCGTGCTCGATGGTCTGATAAGTCGTCACGGGCTTTGTAATGGTCTCGTAGACTTCTGTGGAAAGATGCTGAGTGGTCTTTACGGTCGTCCAGACGTCCACTTTGGTGGGAACTTCCGTGACGATGGTTGAGGTAGATGTGTAAGTGACGACTACCGTCTCTCCGCCAATAGTCTTGGTCTCGGTCTGGCCATCATGTTAGCTCGGGGAGGTCCGGGAAGTCTTGGCTGAGGGAAGGGGTTCTCAAGACTCACCACAGGGCAAAGAGAAGTGATGGTGGTGTACTCGACGTCCTTCTCCGTCTTAGTGACGTCAGGGAGCTTCTCAGTCTGCCAGACCTTGGTAGGAACGTGAGTCACAATGGTGGATGTGGTGGTGTACGTCTTGGTCCAGGTCTTGCCGCCCTCGGTGTAGGTCTCCGTGACCGGGCAGAGGCTTGTGAGGGTTGTAAGCTGGACATCCGTGGCCGTCACTACGGCCGTCGGGCCGGGAACGGTCTCGATGATCTTGGTCGGCTTCTTTTCGACGACGGTGCTGAGTGTGGTGTACACAACAGTCTTAGTGGTGCCTTCTCCAACGATCGTCTCCGTCTGTAGGAAGTGTTAGTCAGGATGCCCTTTGCTCGGAGCTTTTGGCTGGGAAGCTTTGCTTGGAGGGACCACTTACAATCGGGCAGTAGGTCGTGTAGGTGGTGTAGTCAGTGTCGATTTCCGTCACGACTTCAGTGGCGCCTGGAAGGGTCTCATAGATCGTCGTGGGGTGCTTCTCTACAACGGTGGACGTGGTGGTGATGGTCTCATACTGAGTGGTGTGTTCGCCGGGCTTGGTGATTGTCTAACAAGGAATGTAAGCCACGCCGCATCATAAAAAGGGCTCGAGGTCTACTTACAACAGGGCACACAGTCGTGTGCGTGGTCAGGACTTCCGTGACAATAGTCTTGGTCTTATCCTTACCCCAGTCGTGGTCCTCGGTTGCAAGGGCAGTGGCGGCCAGAGCCAGCAGAGCAGTAGTAAACTTCATGGCTGCGGGTGGAGGTGAAACTGAGAGCTTTTCAAACGAGAGATACTCTTGAAACGATGGGCGGAGGAAGCGAGAGCTTTAATTCGAGCGAGAGTCTCTTAAGTAACCTTAACGAACGAGTTACTTGATAGCACAAGATCACGAATATGTGGTTGGCTGGGGGATGGAGAGAGGCTGGTGAGAGCTGCAAGAGGATGGAGAAACAAGAGAAAGGTTCGAGCAAAGAAGAGATGGCTGGGTAAGCTTATATCTTGAGGCCATGAACAGGTGGCCGGCATACCCGGTCTGCCTGCAGGCGGACGGGCGAGGAAAAGAGGAAGCAGAGTGCGAAGGACGAGATGACATCTCTGCTTGTCGACCAACAGAGGTTGGCGATCTCCACTGCGGCTTGCAGTAGTCTTGGGCCATGTGGACAGCAGACCGGCCGCGGCCTGATCCATGAAAGAGGACCTTGGGTAGGGTGTAGAGGACAAGTACGCCAAGTGTGTGATACGAGGGAAGACGATCTTGGAGATGCAGCCTAACAGTTGGGAAGAACCTGGAGCTCAGTGAGTGGCTGGAGGAGAGCTCGATGGGATAGGTGAGAACGCTGGTGTAGGACAAGTCCTGTGGTGTGTATGGATGAACGACTTCGTCTCGGCCGAATGGCGACACGACAGCCAAAGGCGCAATGGTTGACTCGAAATCGGAAGATGAGGCATACGCCACCCGGTGTGCGTAGTGCAACTGCAGCCAAGAGACGAGGTTGGACGACGACGACGAAAGACGAGGACGGCGAGGCTCGACAAGGTTCAGCGACACCCATGTCGCTTTTGGCCGTCAGACGGGTAGCTTATGTGATGACTTGAACGAATAAGAGCGCGAGTATTGACTAGGGCCGATGGCATTGCAGCTTGCAGAAAGACGACTAGGTAGGCAGACCGCCATCCCCCGGCTAGCCATGTTGCCCCGGCCGTGATGCCGTTGTCAAGGCTGTCAGCTCAGGCTTTGACATCCTAGCCGGCTGGTGTCGGTAGTGGCCGACTGATGATGACGGCACAAGGAGGGGCATTTAATATAATCCAGGTGTCTTATGTGGTGAGCTTTGGGAATCCCTTGGCCCAATGATAGCCGTATTGACACGACACTGGCTGCGAGCAAGGCATGCCAACATTTCCAGGGCTTTTCGTCAATCCTGTCTGACTAGATGCTCGAAAAGGCGGGCAAGGCAGCACTGCAGGCCGCGAGGTGACGAAAATGTTCGCTGGCGATCGAAGAAACCCCCTCACTTTGGACCATCTGTGCCTTAGTTGCTTCACACAACCGCGTTCTTTCTTGAGACTTGACCGATCAAGTATACCCGAGTAGCAGCAAAGTTGAGCGCCAGCAAGGAGCGGCGTCTTCGTATTGCTGATAGATGTTGAGCCTTGCGCTGTCAGTTCTTTTCTAGCCGCATCTACTTTTGATTAAATTTCCGCCGTCAGAAGCTGGGTATGAGGCGGACTCGACCGGCGCATAAGTTTCTTAATGTCGGACAGACGTAGCTCGATGCTTGCTGTGTCCTCGAGGGGGGCTCGTGTCCATGTCGTGGCACCAAGCTCAAGACCTGCAGCTCGCGGGAAACATCCAATGAAGAGACGCACCAGTAATGCAGTCCAAGTCGTTGGTGTACAGGAACGCGTCCAACCAGATCCAGGGGCCGGCTCCGAATGAGCACAAAACTTGTTTTGGTGTGGCCGCCAAAATTCTGGAAAAGAGCCAAGACAGCGGTAACCAGGCCAGCGCCGGGCAAATCCAAGAGAAATAATGTTTACAAACTAGACCTCGGTCATCCGTTTACTAGCCTTGCTTGGAAGATGCATGCCCTTCGAAATACTCCAAAAAAACCATCGTCGGGTTAAATAGAGCGGGCTGAGCCATTGCCCGACTGTGCCCTTGGCAGCCAAGACGTGAAGCAGCTTGTTGCCCGTGAAGCTGGCGTGCTCGTAGGTTGATAACCAAAGCTCGGCACAAGTTCCCCAAGTGCCGCCATTGCCAGAGGACGATCCAGTGATCGTCCAAGTGGCCCAATGTTTCCCGCGGGGTACCCCTGACTCGCCCCAGCTAGGACCAGCCGCCCTAGACTGAAGTCTGATGTGTTGGTTTCTATCAGGAATAGCAACAGCTAATACCGATAGCCCCGGAACATGGCCCCGGGAGGGCAGGCATTTGCTGGTGCGAGACGCCGGCGACTTTAGAGTCGATGAAGAAGCTATCTGATAAGCAAAGCACGCCATAATGGCTCGGGTGTGTTAGTCGCGTGTCGGCAGGAGCGACTGACAAGGAGCGGCTCAAGAGCATTGAGCATTGGGAATCGAGAATCGAAGCTATGACAAACGGATCATATGGTGCATGCGACAAAGGCTCCAGCCTCTTAAATCTGTGCGAATAAGCCGCGTCGGGGTGGCGCCATGGAACATGGGTGAGCGCTGACAGTCAGCAGGAAGTTGGCTACTTCGCAATGTTGTCGCATGCCCCGCCATCTTGTGTTGACGGTTGACGGGGAGTTGAGGACGCGGGGCCAGTGGCTTCATCTGCGCCGTGCTCTTCGGGCACTTGCGCAGTCAATATTTCTTTTCCCAGCTCCCCGCACTGCCCGCCGTTGCCGAACGACAGCCAACGACGTGCAGAACAGGGAATAGAGGTAGGCAATTGAGTCTGGAGAACTTTAGTACTGAGGGAATTCCCAATGGTCAGGTGCGTCAGACCTTCTGGAAAGTAAGCCAGTTGGCAAGCCGATGCCATGGGTGCCCATCCTTCTCTACACAGTAGAGCAAGGTCTCCGGGCAAAGGACTTCCCTGGCAACAGAGCGGCACAGCTTTCGGTAAGAGCCCCGCAATGGTCGTCAAAGATGGCTGGCGTGATGATGATGATGGACGCCTCGGGAGCGGCACGGTTGCCCAGACTTTGACCAAAGCGAGGACCAGGAACCGGCTTCCAGTGGCCATGCACGAGAAGACGCCGGGCCGGGTACAGGGGTTGAGCGCGAGAAAAGAGTGGATCGAGTAAGGCGTTCAAATCCGATGCATGATGCACATTGGCGTGGGCATCGTCGACAGGGATGTGTGGAGAGGAAGTGGGGAATATTGGAACCAAGGACGGCACGAAGAGGTGAGAAGTGACGAGCAGGCAGGCAAGTTGGAGCGAGCCATCGACATCGTGAACCCAAGGTTGAGGGAAGAACACACTGGGCGGTTGGATGAAGCGGAGAGAAGAAGAGACGAGGGAAGGTTGGTTGGGTTCAGATGATGGCTTCTGCCGTCTTCCCTTCTATCGTGTAAGCATCCCATGCAGAGGACCTTCTCCCCACATCGTTCCCACTTTGCGACAGCTCATGGATTCAATTTACAGTTCTGGCCCCCAAACCTAATGACAACGGACGCTGTGAGGCGGGAGCGCAGCGTTTCTGTCGTCTGGACTCTCGGCATTACCTGCAGCCACATGCAGCTCGACTTGAAGGTGAGCAGGTACGTAGTCACGCAATCTACCAGCCATGTGTATTGCATAAATCGTATATTCAATTGTCTATACGATAAAGAGAAGCGAAGACCTGGAGTCTGGCAAGTAGGCAGGCACAAAGGCAAAGTGGACGACAGTGGGGAGCGGGGTAGGATTTACATAGCATAGGGCAGCAGTGGGAATGCCTCTTTCTCCATCGCCCCTCCCGGCACATGTCCCACCAGGTACCGCCTGCCCCACTCTGCAAGTTTACTAGTTTACTATCTTTGCCAGGCCCGAAGCGGCAGGAAGTTCCTCCGTTCATACTACTGTGTAGTTAGTTACCTTACGAGAGGATCTTGGTGGGGGCTTGGTGGCAGCAAAACGAGGTATGGCGAGCGCGTAGCAGATGTCACTTGGATCGAGACGGAACCGTGTGGCTCCGATCAGGGACCTCAAACTGACAGTGATGAAACTGCAACGGGAGTCTCGGCCGAGCCCGAAAAGAAGCCATCCCGGGGCAGCGGAACCCTCGGCCGACCCAGAAGTTGACATCCGTCTCTCGTGGAGATTTTGACCCGTCTGTATCTCATGAAGAGGAAATGAAGTGCAGAAATAAGAAAGCGAGGCTCACCTCGTTTGCGTTCCCAGACTCGAGATTGATCAAGTCGAGCGTCAAGAGGCTATTGTCGACTTATTCCAGTACTTCAAACAATGTCCCTCTCGGATTACCTTCCAGCAAACTGGGACAGCCCTTTGCGCCTGGCGGCCTTTTTCATATCAGGACCCATCATCGTTTTCCTGTTATGGGTTCTCGTTTCTTATGGTCGTGTGTTGTACTTGAGGTCTCGCATGCCACCCGGTCCGTTCCCATATCCCATCGTTGGAAACATCGGGCGTGTGCCCGCAGCGAAGCCCTATCTCATCTTTGAAAAATGGTCAAAGGAATATGATAGCCCTCTGATCACTATTTGGACGGGAAACCGTCCGACGATCGTTGTAAACGACTGTTGGGCAGCGTCGGATCTAATGGACAAACGAGCCCAAATCTATTCGTCGCGTCCACATTCCTACCTAGCCGATGCATTTGACGAAACAGAAAACAATCAGACCAGCCTCGTATATGGAGACAAATGGCGTTTACATCGACGTATCACGGTCAGCTGCCTATATCGATATTGTTGCTACCTGCGTTGTCTTTTATTGACGGTCTTTCAGCATACCGTAGTTGGCAGCCAAGCCGTTCGGGGATACCGAACATTCCAGGCCAACGAGTCCAAGATATTGATTCGTGATATCATGGAGACCCAGCAGTTCGTCTCGGCTATTGAGCGATACGCATGCTCAGTTGCCGCCATTATCGGATGGGGCCGTAGGGTTCGATCGATGGATGACGATCTTGCTAAGCTTGCGTTATCATTCGTGCAGACAGGAGCTGGCTTTTCCGCACCGGCTCAATATTTAGTCGAGGCCTATCCATGGATCAGCAAACTTCCTAAACGTATCTACCCGTTTCCTTCCATGATATGGGATGAGGGGCAAAAATTGCTAAAATACTTCTATGCCCTTACCGTCGAAGGGGCTCAACTTGAACAGGATAGCTTCTCCAAGCGTCTCATCCAGGACCAGGAGAACAACAACAAGTTATCTCCTAAAGAAATCGCCAGTCTGACAGGTAATTTGATCGGAGGTGGCGTAGATACCACGACGACCACTATCATCGTCTTCATCTTCGCCATGTGTGCCTTCCCGCGCGTTCAGCAGAAGGCACAGGAGGAAATCGATCGCGTCCTAGCAGGCGAACCCCCTACTTGGGCAGATGAGGACTCTCTTCCATACTGCAAGGCGCTTCTTACGGAAATATTCCGCTGGCGAGCCGCGATTGCACTTGGAGGTCCCCCTCATGCACCTGTTCACGACGATTCCTACAAGGGCATGTTTATTCCCAGAGGTACTTCGATCATTGGAAACCTCTGGGCCATCCATCGCAATCCACGAGACTATCCTTACCCCGATGAGGTACGACCTGAGAGGTTCTTGGAAGAGCGACTGCCAAGTCCTAGCAAAAAGGGCATCTTCACATTTGGTTGGGGTCGACGCCTTTGTAGTGGGCAACCCCTTGCTGAACAAGGTATCTGGTTTACCATCGTGGGATTACTCTGGTCATTCAAAATGCGATCTACCGATGAACATGTGAGTGAACTGCGGATTCGCCGCAATGCGTCAATTGATCAGTTGCTGATGATTTGACTCAATTTAGGGAAATTCCAAGGAGCTGGATGTTTTTGCATTTAATGATAGCCCAGCCCCAAGGCCGCTGCCATTCACGGTGGAGTTTAAGCCCCGGACTAGTAATACCAAAGGCATCATTCAAGCTGCTGCTTTGAAAGCTGAAGACGAGCTGCGCAAGTACGACGTCAATAGTAAAGTAGCTATAGAAAACTTCCAGTAATCGTGTAAATAGTGTTTCCGGGCGAACTTTCCAGTGAGCAATTGGGAAAGGGGGGTGGGGTTGCTTCTTCGCAATATACAGCGTTCTTCGTAAGCAACTCAATCAACCATGAGGACCGAACTGGATTTGGCTGCGACACTGTTATGCCATGATTCACTATAATCAATCATCGAACGCTTACTAACCGAAACTTTCCAGACATACAGCAAGACAGACCTCGGCCCCATGCCCGACGCCCGAATGCCCGCCCGAATCCTGTCTTCATGTAAGGAATCGGCCACACCACTCTGTGATCAGATACGCCTGGCTCTCGTAGTTAGATTAGTCAAGTTGCCTTCACGAAACTCATGTGATCATTAATCTGCCATATCGGCGTCGATATTGTCGTTATCTCTACTGACTACGGCCAGCCATGAGAATCTGAGATACCTCGAGCTAGCATAGTATATGTGGCGTTCTGAGAGGAACAGAGACCTTCTCCCTCCCTTTTGGGGATGCATGCCGGTTGTTGCCAATCGTTATCTCGGGTTTGCAATGGTCCGGATAGGTCACTCATTTGTCAATGCGTTACAGACCGGCCTCATGCTTCGCTCATGGAAACCCAGTTTTCTGCCATCAGGCATTCGATGCCAAACAACCCCAATGCTGCTTTCTCGCGGATTCGGAACTGATGCACTCAATAGCCGTCCTATCATAGGTTATCATTATTCAATCCGAGCAATCGGGAACAGTCTGTCGAAGATGAGTGTGATAGCAAAGCATGGTATAAAGCGATACTCATAGATGATTGGCAGTGCCCGGCCAGTTTCAGCGCCTGGGGAAGTTCGGGAAATCCGGGGAAAATACACCGATGGAATTGATAAACGTCAACCACGGTTAACGTCAACCACGGTTCCCTGATTGGCTCAAGCTGGACCGTAGGCACTTCTCTCGCTGATAAGCTGCCAGGTGTGCTCAGATTTACTTGTCTTCTGCGGGCAAGCCACTCAAAAAGTTGCGATAACTTGGGAATAGCTACGGCTTCCTCTTCCTTGACCCTGGACATTAATGCCAGGCTCTGCCGTATACTATGCTTATCTAGCTGAGTCGAGGGGGGGGTCGAAAGAGGCAAGCTGTGCTCTACTCCAAAACCGTTGAAGCTATGGCTATAAAAAGAGCCCATGTCGGGTGTCGTCTCCACCCCACATTAGTTGAGGCTATCTACACTTGCTACATCTCTGCAAACCCAGGCAATGTCAGTGCTTCATCGGAATTTTTATCGAAATCGTTGAGACACAGTCATTCGAAACAAGTTGCGCAAATATGGCTTCGCTGAAACTGGGCAGTACTCTTTCGTATGCGCTGATCTTTTGCGAGGCAGTTTTCAGCATTTGCATTATCTCCTACGATGCCGCCATGATCAACAACCTGAACGCCGTCGTGCCGTACCGACAACGTGGGTTGACTAACATCACATCTGGCATAAAACGAGCCACCTTAGTTGACAAACTGAAACAGATTTTGAACTCGATAGTGATATGGTCGGTCTCAATGCTGCCATCATCAGCGCCGGGTGCATCATTGGCGCTCCCGTTGTTGGCCACCTCGTCGATCGCTGGGGGCGTAAGGCTGGTCTTGGGCTAGGCGCTACGAGCATCATCATAGGCGTCATATTAGAAGCATCCGCAACTAAAGGTGAGTGCGACACGTCGGCTTCTCTCTCACCAGGACCTTCACTTACACACATGTTCCTCAGTTGCACAACTCGTCTGCGGTCGCTTTCTCATCGGCTTTGCTACTTTGATCAATGGTTCTGTGCCGCCCATGTGGATTATGGAGCTGGGAGCGCCCAGGTATAAATCAATGCTGGCCAACGCCGTGCTAGTCTCCGCGCCATTTACCGCCTTTTTCACTACGTGCATCTTTTTAGGGATATGGGATAAGCAGTCGAACTGGGCATGGCGTGGAATCATGCTTGTGAGTGACTCTTGATGACGACTCAGACCATAGCTGACTTTTTGTATAAAGGGAGAAGCAGTGCCATCCGTCCTTGCTCTATGCCTTCTACCATTCGTCGACGAGAGCCCACGATGGCTCTTCCATAAGGGCCGTACTGAAGAAGTAGGTAGCTGCATGTGATATGCGCCGAACCTTTGTGTCTAAAACTTTTTAGGCTATCGAAATTCTCGCTCGTCTGCATGCCAACGGAGATCGCCAACATCCCTTGGTGATCGCAGAGACTCAGGAGATCATGGGAACTTTGGAACATGAAGAGCAACACGACGGTGGCTGGAAAGAACTCATCGCGCCTGGTAAAGCGGGTCCCTGTTCCTCTATCCAGGTCTCAGACTAACATCTAAGAAAAGCTTCCAATCTGAAAAGATTCATCATCGCCGTGCTGATCAACATTTGCTATCAAATTATAGGTGCAAACGCCATCCTGTAAGTCTACACATGCTTCCAATGATGCGCGAGCCACCACCGACTTATGCGCACCCAGATACTTCTCATCCTTCTTAATTGCCGGACTGGGGATTGGAAATTACGGTACTATCATCCAGGTGAACATGGGCCTACTGTTATGGAACGCCTTTTGCAGCCTTGCCGGCGTCTTCGTCATTGACAAGATCGGCACTCGTAAGGCTCTTAGTAAGTTTTGCTACTTTGATCCGTGTGACGCGTGTGATTCACAGTATATGTCTAGTCTTTGGCACAGCTGCAACTGTCGTCCTCTTTGCTATTCTTTCCGGCCTTTCGTACCTTGCAGACCAACATCCCGACGACCATCGATATGCCATTGGCGCCATCGCTGTTGTGGGCTTATTTCTTTTGGCCGTGTCTTTCAGCTGGTAAGCCTCGTTATAGCCTCGAAGACGATGCAGATCAAGCTAACACGATTGAAGGATGCTCCTTGCCTATACATATCCACCCGAGATCTTGAAATACTCACAGCGGTCTAAGGGTGTGGCAATTGCTCAGGCCATTGGCTATGCTTTCAGCTTTCTCAATCTCTACACGGCGCCGATAGCTATGGAGAAGATTGGCTGGCGGTACTTTGCCATCAACGGCGGGTGGAACCTCGCAATCTTGGCTACTGCGAGTTGGTTGTTCGTTGACACAAAGGGCAGAACTCTAGAGGAGATTGATGAGATCTTTGATGGAATGAGTCATACCGATGGCGTGATTATAGGAACAGATATTGCGCAGAGCTTTGAGCTAGATACGACGGGCAAGGCAGGAAAGATTGTTAGGAAGAAGCCTACATTGGCCTCTACCAACACGAGTTGATTAGGGGACTTGAAAACATTGGGAGACGTCTGGATTCAAGTCGGGTCTTTGGTTAGCTCAGTTTCGCTCGACGGAAAGAATTGAATGGCTTCCGCCACTATGGTCAGGTTTCTGTCCGATGCACAGGGCTTACTGACGAAACTATTAGAGATTCTTCCCTGGGCAAAAGAAAGTTGAATGAGCGATACACGCCAGACGTTGCGTCAAGAACGACCAAATGCTCAGCCATGTCCGCGCCCAAAAACGTCGGAACCACGTCGGGCGTGGCTGGTGGACGGAGTAGGAGGGACCATCGATCTCCCCCCCTGCCAACTAGCTTCAGTAACCACCTAAGGCGTGTTTTTTTCCCTCGAAATTCTATAATCTTCCCGACTAGTCTAGTTTGAAGAAGCGTGACAGTCTCTGCTAACGTCAGTGAGGTGTAGGCTGTCGACACTGCCCGACTGATAAAGGCGAGCAAAGGGTCTAGTCTACATCGGCAAGTCCACCCTATCGTCTGCTCCTCGTTCACGAGCCTTCTCTCTTTCAAAATCGAATACGCCGTCGGGAAGGAAATGCTCATAGAAGGTTCTTACTCCGTATCGGGAGGAAATTAACACCGACTTCCCCAGCATTTCAAACGCGATCTTATCCCAGTTGAGTGGCAGTGCTTCATCGTCCTCGTCGTCCCCGTCCTGGTCGCGAGGCCGCCAGTCGACCAGCAACACTCTTCCGTACGGGCTGCTATCAGCCCTCTCCGCCCTATTCCTATCCGGGTTTCTTTGCTCGCTTGGAAGAGAGTGTGTCCAGGCGAGCGTTTCCTGCCAACGGGTAGGTCCGGGTGGGTTCTTGGGTTTATCCTCAAGCCTATCGACAACCACAATCTGACGGGTGAACTCGGCGTCGCTTAGACCTTCTGGGAGATACCACGAAACCGCCTCCGCCCTGTCCGCAATGACCAGGCGGTTCTGGAATTCCCGCTCATGATGATTTATGCAAGCGGCGGCATGCTGGAGACAGTGTGCGTCCTGGGGGTCTCGCGACGCGCGTGCGGCGAGACGTGCATACCAGGGGCTCTCTTGTGAAAGAACGAGGTCAAGCCCCACGTCCTCGGCAGAATACGGGCTCCCTGTTCCGGGCAGAGCTGGGAGGGGCATAGCAAAGACCTCGACTCTGTCCGGCAGCCCGCAAGAACTGCGGTTGTCCTCGGTGCCGTCGAATATGGAGCGGGCCAGGTCCTCGGCGCGTCCCGGATTAAGCGCGCCAGGGGAAGTGTCGTAAAAGACGTAGGCGTACGGTGGGCGCAAGGGCGTCAGGTCGGCATCCTCCGGAGTGTCTGCGGGGACCGAGTATGCCACGAAAGCCGGAATACCGTCATGGCTAGGCGCTGAGTGAACGATGGTCTTGGGCTTCGGTTGGAGCTTCTTTCGAGGCGCCGGTCTGTCGAAGTCTATTGGCTGCGGCAGCGGCTCCTCGTCCTCCCGGTCGTGCACTGGGTCAGGCGGGGGCGAGGGTCTCGCGAAGCCGAGTCTGCGGCAACCATAACACATTGTTTCGATTATCTTCGGCAGTACAAGCAAGCAGTAAGATTGGATTAATGGGCCGTCATGAAAAAGGTGTGTGTTGGGCTGCGGGCACAGTTGAATTCCTTGAAGAATGCTGACTAATCATAATCATCCCAAGCTGTAGTTTCACCAGCATCACCACAGCCGATGCGATGAATGACTGACTGACTGCATATCATTTCCCCCTACCTCTAAGTTAATTACTACTCGCATCCCGTTGTTTCCCACTTCTTGATATACTTAGAAGTTATCAACTGTATATTTTCCGGTATATTCTTCAGAAGTTTACTCCTAGAAGCATAGTTGATGGGAATATGGTGGTGGTAGATCGCAGGGGCACCTATACACTGACCGGCACCTTATCTTGACTGCCAACCATCCGCTTTGACAGGCATGAAATCAGTCTTGAATCTCATTGGTGTTATTAAAAGCATTGCTCTTACAAAAATGTCTTCGTGATTTCTATTACTAGAATAATCTTCTGCAATTTGCCATCCCCCGAACGCCAAGCAGCAGTAACCTTTTTGACAACATCGTGTTGCACAAGTATCGAACCCCACAAAGCCGTGCCTCTGTATGTGTGCTCCAGCCATATTGTATAACTGCTGTCATGGTTCTTCAGTATATTCGTTCAATTGAGGTGGAAGAAACGAGTCCCAATCGACCAAGGTACTCGCGGATTCTTCCCGCTGCCACATGTCCCAGTCAAAGCCACTTGGCATCGGGTATTCCTTCGTCTCATCTAGAAAAGAAGTCGTAGGCTCCTGAGCCAACGAAGGTTTCGGTATCTGAGACGATGGGGTCCCCGCAGAGTCTTCTTGCGGGTGATAATTGCCAAAGGTTTGCGAAGAGTCCCGCTCTATGTGCGGCGGGTCCGTCTCTCGAGGTTCCTGGTCACAGAAGTTCTTTCCGCCCTTGGAATGGGGGATTGCTGAGTCTGGCTGAACCAATGTCTCATGAGAGGCTACAGAAGTTGAGCCTGGATGAGAGAAATCTTCTCTCCCATAAAGGGGTAATTTGAATGTCACCTGCGGTGGGTGTGATGGCCCCGGCTCCTGTGTATCTGCGGCGGCTCTTGAGAGGCCGGGATCCTCATCGACAGATATGTTCTGAGACCCGATCCGTTGGTCACCCATCATGCCTGTAGTGGTCGAATCGAATATGTCGTGAAATTGGTCTGCGACTTCGGGCCTGTGAACTGCGACGATTTCCCAGAGTCTCTTCAGCATCTCGCCAACCATGTCACGAGATGCGCGAAACTCAGTCGGGCTGGAGACTTCGCGGCGTTCGAAAGCTTGCTGGGCCTCAGGGTCGAATATGGAACGGGACAGCAATTCAATCTTTTCTGTAATGAAGTCCTCGTGGTTCTCACAGACTGCTTCTTCTGCAATGAGATCCTCATAGTCCTCGCAGACTTAAAAGGTGTTAGTTTACAGAAAAAAGCGGCCGGGTAGAGCCTTAGATAGCCGACGCAAGGACTTACAAGGAGACTGGGCCCAAGGGTCACGGTTCGGAAACAGAACGCCCCAGACTTTCTGAAAAGTGCCCAAATGCTTCTTATAGGAAGCGTCGGTGCCTTTCTTGGGCCTCATTTGGCTGGCTTCCTTAAGTACTTCTTCGATAGCTTTCCAATCGTCCTCGTCCATGTGCAGTTCGTCCCGAGAGCCCCCGAAGTGCATCGAGCGCAAATGGTTCCTAATTAATTTAGAATGCCTGTTGCTCTTTGGGACAATGCATCAACTTACTTCAGATCACTGAATGTCCTGAACGAGGTCGGCGCTCGACAAGCTCCACCCACCAAGTTCCGATACCCGATGAAGTAGGGACAAAGCAAGTGTTTGCCTGGCTCGTCGCGCCGAGCCCTTTTGGCCGGCGGCACCTCTCGTTTCTTATCTTCATCTTCATCTTCATCCTTGTCCCTCTTGAGTTGCAAAAGCGGTGATAGGTGGGCCGGAATGGTAGCACTGGCAGGTGTTGCTGAGCTTTGCTTCCCTAGCCCAGTCGAGCGCTTTCCTTTTGAGGAACTCCCTCCATCGACCGCTTCATATTTCGCATGGTTTCCCAAGGTGCATAGAATGCCCGTAAGCAGTGTTGATACCTCCGAAGAATCATGGCTACGCGGTATGAAATCTTGAAGTCGACGTTGAAGGACGTCGACTACGGCGTCGGCATACTTTGGGCTGGCAGCTAGCACCCTTCGAATAGAAATCTCCAGTGAATATTGGTCGTCTTGCCCAAAGTTGTTTTCGGAGGAGTCATCACTGTGCTCGCCATCTATGCTGCAGGGCTTTTGGTGTCCTTCTTGAAACTGGCCAAGGGTATGGTCTTCAGAGAACGTGCTGGCTGTCGTATCTGAGATGGACTGCTGGCTGACTTTGTCGAATATCGACCCTGTTTGAAGAGTCGAGTCTGCAGCTGAAGATCCGGATTCTATCCGTCGTTCAGATCTTTCCGAAGTCGTTTGCGCTCGCGCTTGCTCAAAGAACGCTGCCCATGGACTGAACGAATAAGTTAGCGTCCCACTGTTGCGCAAGGGTGAGAGGCAACTAACACTTTGGTGGTAAACTTTCCGTTGTGCTCGGTGCTTAATTTTGGAAATCTCTGAAGCCAATTCGCCCGATCTGCCGAGTTTTTTGTGAAAGCATTGTCTAGATTTTTGATTCTCTCTCTCAAGCGTGCTAGGTACGATTTTCTTGGATCATGTGTGTTTCCTCCATTGACAAGAAAATCATCTGAGCGATTGTAGTCGTTCTTGAACGCAATCAACCACCCAGGCGAGGAACTTTGGTGCGATGGTACTCCCGTTGCATGGGTCTCCGCTATGGGATTGCGGGGGGCTGAAGCCTCAACTTCTTTGTCGGGGCAAGTCGGTTCCACAGGAAGTCCCGCTGTCGTTGGTATCACCGCGCCGTTGTCATCACCGCTACCGCAAGGAGGGGATGGAGGCATGTCGTACACTGAGAAAACCCTTTTTATCACCCACAATGCTTAGGAAATCTAATAAATGAAGTTGTAAGGCGATGACAACATAGGAACGATCTCAGGCGGGCCGCCGACTTTTTGTACCAACCCGAACACAAGTTAGCAGAAGAAAGGGGTTAACTTGTCCAGAATCGTGGACAAAGATTTTGGTTGGCCTGCTTGGTAAAACGCAACGTCGTCGTTCGTACCTTTCCCACCTACCCCCTGAGGTAAGGTACTTCAAGTCCTTGTATCCCACCAAAGCAGGTAGGCTGTGGACGTTTGTGGCGTTCATCGACCGCTCTCATTGGAAGACATCATCGTTACAGTGCTTTGTCTGCCGGGCGCTAGGTATTTCCCCAGATGTCCTCGATTGTGGGAAAGTTCGACGTATATGACGTACCTCAAGTCACGATTAAGCAATCTTTGGTACGCTCGTGTGATCAAATTATGTCCATGCACTGAGGCTCAAATTCCGCTGGCAGGGAATTTCCAAGACCATACAACGGCGTTCTTCTTCATCGTTATTAGCCTGAAGCTTCTTTACGATGTCGATAAGATCATCCAGGAGCGCTTCAAGTGAGTCTAGGACTCGGGTTTCCCCCGCATAATACCCCGGATTTCGAGGAGGCTGGTGGTTTCCACATTGTCCACCTACTTTATTCGTCCCGGTGCTTGAGTGTCAGGGTCAAACATCACTGACAGCCGTTGAACAAGTATATTGTTGTTGTGCTCGGGAATTCCGAGCGCAAGCTCTGAAGTTCTGAACTTCGTTGCTAGAAGAGTCTTAGAGTGGTACGTGCTGGGAGTAACCCCGCAGATCCGGTATTCCCGCAGCGGCACCGGCTCGGGCCTCTACCTGACCCTGAGACCCGCCGAGCAGTGAAGCATCTATGCGTTTCGTCTAGTCCAAAACCCATGATAATCTGTAATGAAGCGGCTACAGCTGTGGTATTTGATCTTTCAAGCCTCTTTGACAACTTCAGCTTCTCGCGATAAATAATACTTTTTTTCGCATACTTTCTGCTGACTTTCAGCCATGCAAACATCCAAACGACCCAACTTTCTCGTCATCGTCGCTGACGATCTGGGGTTTAGCGATACAGAGCCATACGGCTCCGAAATATCCACGCCGGCTCTGCAGCGTCTTGCCAAGGATGGTCTGCGTATGACAAACTTCCATACGGCCCCGGCATGCTCGCCTACAAGATCCATGCTTCTCTCTGGCACGGATAACCACATTGCTGGACTGGGCCAGATGGCCGAGTTCATGATGGGTTCGCGACAAAAATACGATGGCCACCCAGGATACGAAGGCTATCTCAACTTTCGCGTTGCTGCTTTGCCTGAGATACTTCAGGATGCCGGCTACTTCACTCTGTGCTCGGGGAAGTGGCATTTGGGCATGACTGCCGAAACCTCGCCGTCTAGCCGCGGTTTCACCAAGTGTCTTTCTTTTCTCCCGGGCGCTGGGAATCACCACAATTACGAGCCGCAACTTGATGCGAGACTTCCCCCTTTCATCAAGAGCTCTGGCTTCTGGATGGAGAACGACAAGTTCATCGATCGCAGCAAAGACTTGCCCGAGAACTTTTACTCGAGTGACTACTTCACCGATCGCCTGCTCGGCTTTTTAGATGAGCGCACAGGAGAGGATAAACAGAAGCCCTTCTTCGGATATTTAGCATACACTGCACCACACTGGCCGCTACAAGCACCACAGGAGAAAATTGCCAAATACCGTGGGTTGTATGATGACGGACCGAAAGCTCTCCGAGATCGACGTCTGCGTCAGCTTCAGAAACTGCATCTGGTCCCGAAGGACGTCATTCCGGCACCAGTAGACGTACCTGGTGCTGTTGAATGGAGTGAAAAGGGTGAACAGGATAAAGCCACGGCAGCCCGAGCCATGGAAATCTATGCGGCCATGGTGGACAAGCTCGACGACAATATCGGACGTGTCATCGATCATCTCGAGGCCAGTGGCGAGCTCGACAACACATTCATCGTCTTTATGTCTGATAACGGTGCCGAGGGTTCCACCATGGAATCCATGCCCATCATGGGCTCACTGGGCATCCGGGAGACACTTCGCCAATTTTATGATAACTCATATGAGAACATGGGAAATGCCAACTCCTTCATCATGTATGGGCCGCAATGGGCTCTTGCTGCCACAGCACCTTCGCGAGGCTTCAAAGGTTTTACCACTGAAGGCGGCATACGGTGCCCATGTATCGTGCGGTATCCTCCCCTTGTGAGGAAGGAGGGAGGCATCAGCCACTCCTACACAAACGTCATGGATATCCTACCTACGATGTTGGATCTGGCAGGCGTGTCGCATCCCGGTACTACTTTCCGCGGTCGTGAAGTGGTCGCTCCACGAGGGAAGTCTTGGGTCCCGATGCTTAGCTCCAAGACGTCCGAGGTATACGGCGAGGGTGAGGACGTTGCCGGATGGGAGCTTTTCGGCATGAGAGCGATACGGAGAGGCAATTACAAGGCTGTGATGTTGCCTCCACCTCATGGCACCGGCGCATGGGAGCTTTATGACATTGATAGGGACCCAGGCGAAACTAAAGACCTGGCCGCCTCAGAGCCGGGAGTTATGAGCCAGCTGCTTCAGGACTGGGAAATTTATTTCTCCGAAACAGGAATGATCGAGTATCTTGTGAGAGGGGAAAAAGTTGCAGGCATGTAATGTTCTGGGATAGATGCATAACAGCTTAGCGTGGGACGCATACAGCAGGGGAAAAGCATCTGTGATGTCATGCTCTTGTGACTATATATTGGACTTTGAGTGATTTATTTTTCTTTTTGTACATGTATCTGTATGTCCAATTGTTATGAGCTCCCTAGCCGGTGAGAAATTTGTGGTGATGGTTGAGATCTGAACTGTAGCAGTTGCTGATGTCCGCTTGTAGTTCCCACGCTCTATGTTTATAAGCCTTTTTATTCTTCTTCGTGTCTCTAATCTTGAACGGTATGTACTTGACAGACCGGAGACTGTTCATCATAGCTCTTTTCACAGACAGTGTCTCACCAAGTTCCCTGCTCTCATTCTCGACACTGAGACCGTATTAGTCGGTGACTTTATCCACCAACAGCCTATGAAAACTTCGCTACCGCGCAAAACCATCCAGGCTTCCTCTGAGGGAGACTGCACCATCTCCACACTCCGCCCATCAAGCATCTAGTACATGCGGAGAACATGCTCAACCTATCGCAAATATATCAGTATCAAAGCTACCAGTTCTCAGCATCAAGGGAAACTTACAGCCGGGCTGGGGCTTGCAGCACTTCATCGTCTCCATACCAACGGTGCCGGGCTCAGATCGCTGCCTCTCGCCAGTGATCTCACAAGTCGTCTGGCAGGGCAAGTCCTCAGGAAGATCACAGACCCAACCCTTGGTGAGGCCTCGCGAGATAGGACCGACGTCTGACTTGCAGACCTCGGGGGCGGAGCGGCAGCCCGCCATGACGCCGAGGGACATGGAAGCAATAACGAATGCCTGGGTGAACTTCATGATGACTGATTTGTGTGTAGAAAAAGGATTGAATGTGATATTATTGCAAGATCGACTCGATGTGGTTAGCGGGTAGTTACAATCACATCTACAGAGCTCGAGCGCTACTACTTATACCTGGAAGCTGAAGGACCTACCCGGTCAAATGTATGTTGGCGTTCGCGTACCTCCGATCCCCAGTTTCTGTTGGCGAGTCTAATAGATTGGCTGGTCGTGAGTTCTGGCCTCATACTGGCTTTACACTGTTGGTCATAATCCCCATGGACTTTTGATTCATGATCCGCTATTCTTCTCCGTACTGGCGAGTCAGTACGAATGAGACGAACGGGTCATCCCACGCGGCGACAAGCGAGTCATTGTACGTCGTTGAGCATCACCAGACTACAGTGCTTCATGCTGACCCTGAATACGGCAGGCTGGCCAATCGGTCTTGCAAGCCCCCACGGAGAATGAGGGTCATAGTATGACTCCCGCGGTGGTTCACTCGCGGTCTCAGTGTGGAGTCACCGCGTCAGGAGGTTTCCGCTGTGTGATGGTGTCTACGGAGTACTCTCTCGGGTCGTTAATCACTCTATAGATATCCTCTTCCTTTTATATAAAAGTTATGATAGTATGAAGCTCTCAATATTGGAAATTGGACCTTTTGGCATTCTATACCGCCTCGAATGACGTTGTAACGGGGCAACATACGATGCCCAACTATCTGTGCAAAGATAGAGTTCACCTCACACCTGTGTCTGATAAATGAACGGGGCAATGCCGCGGGCCGCCCACGGGCAGTGGAAGTTTCTGCAGTTGCGGCTATAACCAAGTGTCCGTGTTTGCGGCTCAACAACGTCCCGCGTGTTAGTGAGCCCGGCCGCAACCACAAGGAAGACATCGTGAATCCACTTTAGCCCACCAAAACTTCAAAAACATACAACACCAGGTATTCGCTGGTCGTCACCGACCCAACTACTAATCCGGCCCTCATTGGCTTATCTATGGGAGAGCGGACGGGATCCCGAGTTTTCCAATGGGTATGGTCGTATGTGGTTGTTGATGATGGTGAAGCAGTTCATAGAGGCAGCTGCAAGTTGTGGAAGCTGGACGTGGCTGCACTTCTGGCTGCACAGTGCCACTAGAGCTGCAGGCAAACAAAGTTCCGCCCAAAGAGACCTTGAAGATGCTCATCTCATTTGCTTTATTCATTAGCATAGAAATTCGGATAAGTTAGGTGGACCCGAATTCACAGCTCAAGCGACGTGCCGGCCTGGAAGAGTAAATGAAGCTGGAGCGAAGCTACTTCCCACTGGTCTCATTGGCCAATTGAGTTGCCCTGTACACCTGCCTGTTGGGTCTGCGTTTTCCAGCCTGAGCAGGGGTTGGGTGCCGTGTTAGTGGGGCCGACCGGCCGGCCGAGAATGACCGCCGCTGCCCCTCAAGGGCGGGAGCGAGGGCGGTGCTCCCCAAGACACTTGCGTGGTAAGTTTCCTGTCATGACAACGGAACATAAGAAGGGTTCCTTGCTCCTCATAATTGCATTCCAAGCTCTCGATAGACCTCCAACGTAACTGAAGGCCACTGGACCTACCTTAGTTGCAGCGAGGTTAGATCAACTGGAGCCTGATGAAGTGGGGATTTGACGATAGATTCGACGGTATTGTGCTAAGACCAGCCAGGAAACACGGCCAAACCCATTATGTGGACTGCCGAAAGCCGGTCAGGCCAGACTCTATTTTTCCCTTTTAGGTCAAACCATATGTCCTCGAGATCCAGCGCTGTATGGTTGTCTTTCCATAGTGCAAAGTTTGCTGATTATCAATCAAGGTGAAGATTAGCACACAGCACCGAGCACAGGTACTTATATGCACTGGTTTCCCATCATGAGACGAGCACAGCTATCAACGAGAAAGTAATGGGAAGACGTTCACGATAGCCGTTCAAGATGGGCGTCTTCTCACCTGACAGTCTTCCGTCAGAGATTCTCCACGATATACTCAAGGTCCTCGAGATTAGTGATCCCTGAAAGCAAAACGACTAACACGCTATAGCATCTAAGCAAGCACGACCTCTGCAGCCTGCGCCTAGTAAGCCGCACATACGCAGCCTTCTGCCTCCCCCACATCCTCAAGCTCATCGCGTCAGAGCTCCAAGAGTCTCCAAAGAAGCCATTCGAATCGCCATCCTACATCCATCGGCTGACAAAAAGCTGCTCACACGATATGCTAGAGTCCGTCGTCAAGCTCGGCGTACCCACCGACGAGTTCAACGCGCAGGGCGAAGCGGCACTGCATGTGGCGGCCCGCCATGGCTGCGGGAGTGATTGCATTCGGATCCTTTTGGCCGAATCCGCGAACCCGGACGTGGAGAGCCGTCTTGGGTGGACGCCGCTCATGATTGCGACGAGGTACGGCCATGTTGAAGCTATCGCGGAGTTGATACGCGGCGGTGCTCGGCTGGATCGGAGAGGGTTTCATGGCTGGACGGCTCTACATGTCGCAGGCCAGAACGGCCGGGAGGATATCTTCGAATTGCTTGTAAGGGCGGGAGCAAGTCTGAGGATTGCCGATAATGATGGTTTGAAGGCGACCGATACTCCTGTAGGAAGGGTAAGCAGTCATCTCCCATGATAATATGTGAGAAGGCGACACAGGCTGCTGGTTTCCTCCGGTATCCCACCGCCATGACTCTGGAATGAGACAATCCCGCGCTTGGCTGCTGTAGACGAGTTGAAGGAAAAGACATCCCATTGGCATTGCAGCTAACTGCCTTGATCACCTAAGAGTATCGTGCGCATTTGCGCATGCCTCACCGAGCTGAGAATAGGGCGTGCTCTCCCCTCATGATTACTGATCTGTTGTTTCTGCTTACACACTCTTCAACATCCAAATACTTCACCGAGCCCTTCACCGAACATTACATGTCATTGCTAACCCGACGCGGAATGGGCCATTTCACTCTCTGGAGAATACGAACACACGTGCCGTCGAGCACGGTACTTCCGAGTCGACGAGGCAGTCAAGGTATCTCACGGTGTCAAGCCATCCAATTGCCGAATCGAGTCAAAGGCTGCAGTGCGTATATGTATTTCTTAGACCGGGATCAGTAATCACCTCACTTCCGGGAAGGATCCGATGTACGCAGGGGCAAAGCACCGGCAGCCCCATAATTCGCTCCGTCTTACGGCATTAGCTCGCTCAACCGATCTCCGGATACACTGCCCCGCCTTGCGGGCCGTGGCTTTATCTGTCTTACACTTGCGAGCGGGGCACCGGGGCTAACCTATCGGGGTACGCCGTCGCGGCCGCTAGGGCCTATATAGCATATGATTCATCGCGGCTATGCGTTTCCAGGTGCAGATCACCCGTATACAGGGTGTCTTGCCTGCATCGTGCCAGATGAACATTCCAAACGCTAGTAGTGTGTGCGTGCGCGTATCTGAACTCATTGTGAGGAGTAGAAATAGCCATTGACTTCTCTTCACTCCTGACCATCACAATTACTCAGTATCCTCCAGACATTAAGAATCACATGAACGCCACATTAACACAGTCCGACAATCAGCACCTCAACTCAGCTTCGCCCGCCATGGACGCCTCGAACAAGCCCAAAATCACGTTCTACGACATCATCCTCGATCCAAAAGCCTATCCAATGGCACCGAACCCGTGGAAGACACGGTACGTAAAACACCCCCGCCCCCGCACTTCACTCGCGGGGAGAAAGACTTCAAACCGGCTTACATTCTATAGCTTCGCGCTCAACTTCGCCAAAGTCCCCTACCGCACAACCTGGGTTCCCCTCAACGCCGTCGCCGAGACACGCAACTCACTCCAACTCCCCGCCAACCGCAAACACGACGATGGCACTGACTTCCCCACCCTGCCAATCATCCGCGACCCCCTCGCCTCTTCCTCCAGCTCGGGAGAGAAGAAGGAAATCCTGGTGGGCGACTCATTCGACATCGCGCTGCACCTGCAAAGAACCTACCTCGCCGACAAAAAGCACCAACTCCTCCAGGACGGAGAAAACGGCAGCAGCACGGTATCTCTGCACCGCGTCTTCAATGCTTTCGTAGACCAAGTCTTCAGCCAGTACGGCGCCCCGCTCGGCGGCTTCTACATGCCCCTCGACCCGCGCACCGCCGAGGCCGACAGGCAGTCGTTCCTGGACCGGTTCCCAGGCAAGAAGTGGGGGGACCTCGAGATCTCACCCGGTTCGGAGGTAAGGAAGAAGATGCTGGCGGATTTCGAGACGAACTTGGAGGCTAAGCTCGGTCCCTGTTTTCCTGCCGGGGGAGCGGGTCCATTTATGGACGGGCGCGAGAACCCCGTGTATGCGGACTTTATTGTCGGTGGCTGGTTACAATTTATGAGAGGGTGTTTGCCTGAGTGGGAGGCGTTGAGGAATGAGTGGTCTGGTGGGAAGTGGGGGAGGCTCTTTGATGCGCTTCAGGAGTGGACGGACGTAGATGGGCGAGAGGGCGTCGTCCCGGCCAGGCCATGAGAAGACAGTCTCCCCGTAGACAAGGGTCTTCTCAGCAGGTGTTCGCTCTGAACTCTACAAGTATGGATTTCTTGATCGCAGGGACTGAATTGGCTCCAAAAAGTACGCGGCTTTCATAGTTCAAATGTTTGCTTGCTTCAAATATTATCCTTGCCATGAAGCGTTCGTGGCGTGGACAAAGA